AGTACACATACAACGGATTTAGTGTAATGATGTCATAAACAGTATCAGAAACACATGACCATGAATAATGCCAAAATATAAGTAAACAGTATCGACAGGATATAGGATCATGTGTTCTCATAACTGTATATATATAGCAATATATATTTAGTTATATTTTAATTTTTCAATCAAAGTGCTTGTGAGCACTGAAGGGTAAAGATTGCTTTCATTTTGCAATTTTGTGAATTTAAAACAAAACATTGATTTGTATTTAGCTAGGCAAATTATAAATTTGAGTTGGAGTTATCTTCCTTTGTTTATGATTGTACATTTATAGATGAACCTATTTTTATCACAGATTCATACACCATGCATTACTTCTGTAAATTTTAATAAAGAAAATTCTTCTTGTAAGTATAGAAATTCAAATACACATCATATTGTAACTTGAATATCAAAGTATAACATATCATTAATAAATTGCTTGACATTGACTGGATAAGATCTAAAGAATCACTTCACTGCATTATTTTGTTTGAACTATGAAAGGTAGTGATCAACCTTGGAAGATATAGATATCAAGTCAGTACCATAGGGTTTTGATTGCATTTCATGCAATCTTTACCCAAAAATAAAATCAATGTAAGTACTGATAAAAACAATATTCAAAGATTTTACTAAAGTGTTCAATTGGTAACCTTTAAGAAAAAGTTTATTCAGAGGATCAATTAGTTTACACAGATCGTGTCTAAATATATGGGCTTTATAAACTACTTAATGTAATTATTGGGATGTGATAATAAGAATTCTACAGGTACAGCCAAATTTTCAAACCAAATCTTGGTATCTATGAAAGAATTTGGTAAAGGTTTTAATTAACTTGCGGTAAAGAAATCCCTGACTTAACAATTTACCAGTTATACATAAATTACATTCATTGAAATATAAAACTGGACTGCAGACACAGGCATGTTGAACAAGTTGTGAAATATACACACAGTATGAAGGGGCCAAAGGAATATCATCGTCCAAAACTGTAAAATTAATATTGGGAACATGTCATAAAAAATTAAAATTTAATAGGAGCAAAAATTAATTTAAAATTATCAAATTTAAGTAAAAAAGTACTAAATTTTTCAATGAAATCATAAGTAGTTAATTTGATGAAGAATGAATAAAGACATGGGAAAATGAATATCTTCCACACATCAGAAACTTGGGGTAATACAATCAAAATCTGTGTGAAATCACTGTGCAAAGTTTGCATAATTTTGCATGAAAACTGTTACACATACAAACTAAGTACCCTCTACACCTTTCAATGACAAAAACAACTACCTTATACACCATTCAATGACATAACTTACTACCCTCTACACCATTCAATGACATAAATAACTACCTTATACACCATTCAATGACATAAATAACTACCCTCTACACCATTCAATGACATAAATAACTACTTTATACACCATCCAATGACATAAATAACTACCCACTACACCATTCAATGACATAAATAACTACCCTCTACACCATTCAATGACATAAATAACTACCTTATACACCATTCAATGACAAAAAAACTACCCTCTACACCATTCAATGACATAAATAACTACCTTATACATCATTCAATGACAAAAACAACTACCTTAAACACCATTCAATGACAAAAACAACTACCTTAAACACCATTCAATGACAAAAACAACTACCCTCTACATCATTCAATAACAAAAACAACTACCTTAAACACCATTCAATGACATAACTAACTACCCTCTACACCATTCAATGACATAAATAATTACCCTCTACACCATTCAATGACAAAAACAACTACCTTTTACACCATTCAATGACATAAATAACTACCCTCTACACCATTCAATGACAAAAACAACTACCTTTTACACCATTCAATTACATAAATAACTACCCTCTACACCATTCAATGACAAAAACAACTAGATATCATTGAGATGGGAGCCATCTCTGTGGGCCCCGCTGTGAATAATGTGTGGTAAAAAATTTGTATCTTTATCATTGGACATGGGTTTGTCAACTGAAACCGAAGTTTATGACCTTGACCTTTGACCTAGGAAGTTGTACATACATTATGACACACCCTCTGGTGTTGGTTTATATACATGTCAAGTACAAACTTTGAAATCATAACGGTTCTCAAGATATAGAGCAGACATGATCATTACCATAGGACATGGGGTTGTCAACTAAAACCAAAGTTTTTGACCTTGACCTTTGACCTAGGAAGTTGTACATACATTATGACACACCCTCTGGTGTTGGTTTATATACATGTCAAGTATAAACTTTGAAATCATAACGGTTCTCAAGATATAGAGCGGACACGATCTTTATCATAGGACATGGGGTTGTCAACTAAAACCAAAGTTTTTGACCTTGACCTTTGACCTAGGAAGTTGTACATACATTATGACACACCCTCTGGTGTTGGTTAATATACATGTCAAGTATAAACTTTGAAATCATAAAGGTTCTCTAGATATAAAGCGGACACAATTTGTTAGGGACGGACGGACGGACGGACAGACTGATCACTATAGGGCGTCCGCCATTCAGCGGGGCCCTAACTACCCTCTACACCATTCAATGACATAAATAACTACCCTCTACACCATTCAATGACATAAATAACTATCCTCTACACCATTCAATGACATAAATAACTACCCTCTACACCATTCAATGACATAAATAACTACCCTCTACACCATTCAATGACATAAATAACTACCTTTTACACCATTCAATGACATAAATAACTACCCTCTACACCATTCAATGACATAAATACCCACCCTCTACACCATTCAATAACATAAATACCTACCCTCTACACCATTTAATGAAATAAATAACTACCCTCTAAACCATTCAATGACATAAATAACTACCCTCTACACCATTTAATGAAATAAATAACTACCCTCTACACCATTTAATGAAATAAATAACTACCCTCTAAACCATTCAATGACATAAATAACTACCCTCTAAACCATTCAATGACATAAATAACTACCCTCTACACCATTTAATGAAATAAATAACTACTCCTAAACCATTCAATGACATAAATAACTACCCTCTACACCATTCAATGACAAAAATAACTACCCTCTACACCTTATACCGTATTTTGCGGATTAAAAAGCGCACCCCTAAATAAGGCGCACGGCCGTTTTTGGGGGTGAGGATTGTTTTTTTCCTTACATAAAACGCACCTGCATATAAAGCGCACCCTGAAGAAAACGTACATGCATTCTACTGACCTTAGCGTAATGAATGTTCACTCCTTCTTGTAACTCACTCCGTAACATGTTTCATTTTTATTTTCAGATTGTTGAGAAAGTTGAAAGACATTTTGTATATATTTATTTGTTTCATATTAAAATAAATAAATGTTAATAAAATTATTATAATTTTCTTATTGTTTTAATCATGCCAGATTCATTAGTTGTTTTTTGTCAACAATGGCCATGTGTTGACAGCTTGAGTGTCCATTGAACCTTGTTGTTTTGATTAAAATTAGTTCGGTGTTGATTGCTTATTTATTGTTTGAATTGGAATCAAGGATTTTAATTAATCTTGAAAAGGTATTCATTAGAAGTTACCCAAGCCATAAAACTGCCATTGTTTACCTTGATTATGACCTACTTAATTACCTGTACCCACGTGTGAAAACTGTTCACCCATAAGTCAGGAAAAAAATTATTAAATTAAATCTAAAGAATTTTATTGTTGTTTATAAAATAAAAGTTTAAGTTTTATAAGTAACAAACATTTTTCAATTTAAACTTGGTTGAAAACTGCAACAAAACCATTCAGTTTCTGCAAGTCATTGTCTATTTTTAACTGAAAGTGAGATGGGCCACGGAAAGGGGAATTCAAATAAGACGGCGATATATAAATGTCTTATCATATTGAATTATGAAAATTAATATTCATTTTTTTTATTTCTTACACCAATATGTGGCTACAATATTTCATAAAGATATTTCATTTTGAAACAATAAAACAACAAGCAGTTACTCCTCAATAGTATATCCTGTATGGTACCTCTTTTCAAACACGCTTATCTTTCTTTGTTTATGAAACACTTTAAAGGGTTCATTTCAGCACATGGTTATCACCATCGTCATTAAAAGAGACTTGAAATATTGGAAAGAAACACAATCACTTCCTTTATTATTTCTAAAGAAGATTTTATTTAAAAACACATTACAACAACAAACAATTACATATTTATTGTAAATACACAATTAATATCCTGTATGGTACCTCTTTCAAACACGGTTATCTTTCTTTGTTTATGTAATAAACACATGGTTATCAACTCCGTAAGCCAACAATGAAATAAAGAACAAATGATAAAGTATATATATTTTTATTCATAACAAAATATGCCACATGAACAATTTATCAAGTCACTGCAAGCACTTGACAATCTGACGGTCTCCATAAAAAAAAATACAGATATATATTTTTTTTCACGCTTGCCCTGAAACTGAAAAAAATACATACATAAAGCGCACCTGAGTATAACACGCAGGGACAATGACAGAGAAAAAAACCTGCGGCTTATTTAACGAATTTAACGGTAATGATAAAATGACTAAAAGTTCCACACATTTGAAACCTGAAAAGAAATATTTATAATCAAGAGGACAACTATAAAAATTATGTATGACACAAACCAGTACTGTTCTACATGTTCTGGATGGAAGTACGGACGGACGGACTGACCAACAGAAGGTCAAAATGGTGGATGGACTTAATTGGATACTAGACCTGCTCTGGCTTATGGCAAGACAGGTAAAAACACATATCATTGATTTACTTATCTAAGAGTTATATGCTGACCTCTAAATGACTTCTTTTTTGTTGGATCATTAAAGTTTACCCCATATCTCTTTTAATTAAAATATAGGATAACCCATTTTTTATTATGTGTTAATTATGCTGACCTGTTGAATGATTTCCAGTGCTGACTGTAAAGAAGTTTCTGTCCCTATCCCATACAACATCTCTGCTTGTAGTATCATAACAGTATTAGTTATTGACCCTGGTATTGTCAGAACTCTATCTTTCCTTTCAAGTGTTTTCAAGCCTAAAATAAAAACATATGTTTAAAACTCACAATTTTATGTTAGTTTTAGAGGAAAAGAAATAAAATGACTACAAAAAAGTACAAAATGAAATTGAATCCAAATGAAAAATATGTTTCATGGAAAGGAAATTGTTTCAAAGATTTGGAAGTTCAATTATTTTTATCATTGGGAATGTTATTGCTGAAAAGCAGTCTTAATGACCCTGCTATGACTACTGTATTATGAAGTTGTAAACCATTTATCTATTATTGCATATCATTTTATTTATCAGTTTGATTTTATTTTTAGTAGTTGGAAAATACTCTAATATCTAATATTTATAAAAATCTAAATAAATTTTGTCAAATTTTTTTTAAAGAAAAATAGTTTGTTTTTAAGATACTTGCACATCTTGCATGATTTTTCTGCTCCACTGAAGTCATGTAGATGTTTTAGAGTAAGGCCATGGTAATACTGTATACAAGGAATTTTTGGAAGCTGATCAATGGCTGCAATGATGACCAATTTATGTACATGATATATTATACGTCTCAAAACTATCACAATAAAAAGATTTGAAAGAATCCATTCAATAATTAATTTAAATGTCAAAATTCTTTGACAGTTTCAACAAAAATCAATTGAAGAGTTTTTCTACATTTTCAAGAAAAATCCAATAAAAAATATATAACTGATATAGCACTCTATAACTGTATCTATGGAAATGTGTTATATATCAGAGTGAAAATGTGCCAAACATTCTTAACTTACATTCACTCATCAAACATAAAACACTTTGGTCTTAATATTCATGAACAAATTATGGAATTATCCTTTAAAAACAAAAGAGTCTGTGAGCTATTGCTAACTTAAATGTTGAGAAATTTTCATTACCTGCATGATACTTTAAACATTTTGAGGATACTAGTATGAGTTTTTGGCAAACAGGGAAAAGAATATTGAAAGAACTGTAAACATATCACAAGGTATTCCACAACCAGATGAAGCTTGCTGTCATATATCAAAAAGCTGTGACTTGAAGTTGCTGAGAAAAATGCGCTATAAAAGCTACGATACCACATCATGAGATGAAGAACAACAATAAAAGTGCTGTTTCTTTGCTCTGGGTTTTGTCAAGTGGATGTAGGAATTTCAATTTATTTTATACATTAACATAACAGTAAAATAACTTAATGTGAGTTCATTTTTAATCATTAAATACCAATTTTTGTGGATTCCATGAAAATTGGTACCCATGAAAATAAATGAATCCACAGTATGCCAGACTTTTGTAAAAGATTCCACTTTTTTGATAAAAATTAGGACATATGAAATATTCAATAGCAAAACTCTGTCATTTACTAATAACAGAAAATATACACAAGTTAAGGAAATTCTACAAAAGTAAATGTTTAATCATTATTGTATATTTATTGTAAGTCAAAACATGTTACCTCTAGAAAGACAATCTCTAGCCTCTATAAATTTCTTGTTACACAACTGTACATAACCTTGACCAGCTAACAAGTAACTACTGTCTGGACTAAGCTTGGATATTGTACTAATGTAATCATCCATGGAGGGATTTAACGCTGGAAACTTTTCTCCTGCAAAAACCAAACTTCATATCAAACAAAATCTTACCATTAGACTAATTGATTGTTGTTTGATTAATGTGCCAATGGCAATTATTTCTGGACAAGAGAAAAGATGGATTGTATGGGTTAACCCTCTAAAAATTATTGCTAGTGTTCTTTTATATGTATCTAACATTGAATCATCAGATTTAACATTTTATTGCAATCAAATATTTATGAGTACATTGTATTTATCTATCATATACAGACAAATACAACATATCTTTCTGCTAGACAGAAGAAATACAGGTGACCAAATTTCAATACCCCATTTAAACATAGATGTTTCTTCTTTTTTAAAAGCAATTCTAATTACTGGTACCTTTTTTAATCATATCCATTAAGGAAATATTTACACATTTTTAAACATCATTTCCTTATTTGAAGGAGACCAAACCAGAATAACTTGGGGACATGATTTGCAACCATTTTTGGGACTAGTCTGAAGACTATATACTGATCAACTCTAATCAATTCCAAAAACACTTTAAACTGCAAAGTGGCTATCAGTCAGCCAGTATTCTAGTTCAGCAATGATCAACCATTATAACTGAACTGCTGAAACCCATTTGTGGCAAGACTGTGCTGTTTGAATACTTAAAAGTCAAATATTTAATTTAATAAATTTTTACCCGCTGAAGACTCCACTAAACAAGAATGTGTCCATAGTACACAGATGCCCCACTCGCACTATCATTTTCTATGTTCAGTGGACTGTGTAATTGAGGTAAAAACTCTAATTTGGCATTAAAATTAGAAAGATCATATCATAGGGAATATGTGTACTAAGTTTCAAGTTGATTGGACTTCAACTTCATCAAAAACTACCTTGACCAAAAACTTCAACCTAATGCGGGACAGACAGATGAACGGACGAACCAATGAACGAATGAAGGAATGAACAGACGCACAGACCGAAAAAAATAATGCCCCTCTGCTATCGTAGGTGTTGCCTAATTAAGCAATTTATTATCATGTTTTATTGAGATTTGAATTCTTCATCAAATTATCACACCTTATCTTTACAAAACAGATAGTGCATTGAAAGTCACTTTTTCATATAATTATGTAGCGAGTTAATGTAACAGCATTGAAGCTATTTATACTTCTGTACCTACCAACATGTTTATCCATTGTCATGACAACCAGTATCTCTGTAGGATAAGAAATATTAGGGAACTTTAACTGCAGAGTTTTACACTTAAATTCCAGCTTGCTACCAACATACAGCATCTACAAAGTTAAACATCAGAGGTAAAAATAACTTTAATTAGTTCAGTCATTATTCTGAAAGCAATAAGTCATAACTATAATACACAGTCAAGTATTGTAAGTCTGCCCATTTCCAAATCTGTACAAAACTAGATTGCATTTATGTATAATGCAAAGTACAGATATAGAAGGTGTTAACCCTAAAAATAATTTTCTCTGACTAAATCTTTTTTAATTTTGGGCCACTGCACTTCTTTATATTTTCATTTCAGAAAGACAGTTTGTTTTATTTGTGTTTAATTTATAGCAGTAACTATCCATTATTATGTGCTAACCATCATTATAAATGCTACTTTTTTGCAAAGGAGTAGGTTCACAAAGGGTAAATATTGGTCCTATAATTCCATGAAACTTAACTTCAGTAATAATAGTAAACATTTGATAACAAATCATGTAAAAATATCTGACAAAAACAAAATTAACAAGTTCTGACACATTAAAACACTGATGATGCCATTATCATCATAATTGTATTTGCTTATGAAGATAATCATAATTTTGACTAACGTTTAGGCAATATTACAATATTTTTTGCTCAAAACAACATTGGCAACATGCATGGAAAACCATAATTTTTTTGTAAAGATGTGTATCAAACCCATATACATCTTTGTTTAAAAGAAATATTTTGGTTGAAGGGTGTCAAACACATTATTATTAGATGAATTTATAGTAGTGTCTTCACAATCTGGTTGCAGAAATATGTATGCATACTGTAAACCATAAAAGAAATAATCAAATTTAAATCCTTGCGAATATATCAAAGGATTCTATCTAAAATGAATCATCCACAAAAGTCCAGAAAATCTTGAAAAAAGATCGTAGTAAAGTAATGTGGGAAGACTAAACATGAAAATAAGTTGGTTTATACTTTTTTATAGTCATTTTAAATCTTCATATATGATAGTCTAAGTCAAAACTACCTCCTCAGAATTTTTATTTCTACAGGTTGCACTTTGTAAATACAGCTGATTCACAAACCAGACCTCTTTTGGGGAGATATGAAATATTCATAGATATTTTGTTTTGTTTACCTTCTGATTCCCAGATATGATCTCTATGTTTCATCTCATAGAGACACAACTTGGGAATTTTACCGGTATAAATACGCATGGATAGCGGCCAAATAGAATTCTGAGGAAAACTCAAAGTGAAAGGAGGGGTAGTACAGAATTTTAGTAGAAGTTTAAACTCTTAGTTTGAGGCATATAAATATTGAAAATATGCCACACAGCCCTATGTTTTGACCTTTGAAAAAAATAGTAGTGCATATGAACTTTTTGTTCTAGGATATAATTTTTTACGAAACTTCATAGTAAAATGGGCACAGTTTTAGTGGTAAATGGAGTTCCTATGGGAAATTGCCTTTTCTATATTTACAGAAGTGCAACCTACAATAACCCTTTAAACAATAGTGTTGTTGAGATACTTACCTGAAGCAGACATCTCACATAAAATTTAACCACCAACATAGTGTCTATAAACTGTACAGGATCTAACTCAAATAATCTGTCACAGGTAGATACATACTAAAAAATACAAAAGACAAATAAACTGTCACAGGTAGATAGATACTACAAAATACAGAAGACAAATAAACTGTCACAGGTAGATAGATACTACAAAATACAGAAGACAAATAAACTGTCACAGGTAGATAGATACTACAAAATACAGAAGACAAATAAACTGTCACAGGCAGATAGATACTACAAAATACAGAAGACAAATAAACTGTCACAGGTAGATAGATACTACAAAATACAGAAGACAAATAAACTGTCACAGGCAGATAGATACTACAAAATACAGAAGACAAATAAACTGTCACAGGTAGATAGATACTACAAAATACAGAAGACAAATAAACTGTCACAGGTAGATAGATACTACAAAATACAGAAGACAAATAAACTGTCACAGGTAGATAGATACTACAAAATACAGAAGACAAATAAACTGTCACAGGTAGATAGATACTACAAAATACAGAAGACAAATAAACTGTCACAGGTAGATAGATACTACAAAATACAGAAGACAAATAAACTGTCACAGGTAGATACATACTACAAAATACAGAAGACAAATAAACTGTCACAGGTAGATAGATACTACAAAATACAGAAGACATATAAACTGTCACAGATAGATACATACTACAAAATACAGAAGACAAATAAACTGTCACAGATAGATACATACTACAAAATACAGAAGACAAATAAACTGTCACAGGTAGATACATACTACAAAATACAGAAGACAAATAAACTGTCACAGGTAGATAGATACTACAAAATACAGAAGACAAATAAACTGTCACAGGTAGATAGATACTACAAAATACAGAAGACAAATAAACTGTCACAGGTAGATAGATACTACAAAATACAGAAGACAAATAAACTGTCACAGGTAGATAGATACTACAAAATACAGAAGACAAATAAACTGTCACAGGTAGATAGATACTACAAAATACAGAAGACAAATAAACTGTCACAGGTAGATAGATACTACAAAATACAGAAGACAAATAAACTGTCACAGGCAGATAGATACTACAAAATACAGAAGACAAATAAACAGTCACAGGTAGATAGATACTACAAAATACAGAAGACAAATAAACTGTCACAGGTAGATAGATACTACAAAATACAGAAGACAAATAAACTGTCACAGGTAGATAGATACTACAAAATACAGAAGACAAATAAACTGTCACAGGTAGATAGATACTACAAAATACAGAAGACAAATAAACTGTCACAGGTAGATAGATACTACAAAATACAGAAGACAAATAAACTGTCACAGGTAGATAGATACTACAAAATACAGAAGACAAATAAACTGTCACAGGTAGATAGATACTACAAAATACAGAAGACATATAAACTGTCACAGGCAGATAGATACTACAAAATACAGAAGACAAATAAACTGTCACAGGTAGATAGATACTACAAAATACAGAAGACAAATAAACTGTCACAGGTAGATAGATACTACAAAATACAGAAGACAAATAAACTGTCACAGGTAGATAGATACTACAGAATACAGAAGACAAATAAACTGTCACAGTTTTGTAGCTTAACAACACAAACATGGTCTATTCATGCTTTTATACTTATAGAATTATTCAAAGCAAATCTTTTTTTATTCTTGTATAATGTCTGCTTTTTACAACCGTTGGTTTTGTATTTTAAAATATTAAAGGGAGTTAAGTGTGTAGGGTACAATCTTTGGAATTACTTTAGACAACACTCAACAGAGAAAACTTTGAACTAGCTTTCAGTGCAAGTACTCAAACATAGACACCTTGTGTTTTTTTCTTTCTTTTTGCAACTTTTTTTGTGTGCTTAGTGCCAGACAAATTAGTCAAGCCTTTTCTATATGATTTTTTTTGTAAGTTCTTATGTTGTACTGTTGCAAAACTGTCATATGTTACTGTATTAGGGGTTGAGCACTCACAAACATGTTTTACCCAGCCACATTTATGTATCTGTCCCAAGTCTGGAGCCTGTAATCCAGTGGTTGTCATTGTTTACAGTTGGTTTTATTTTTTTTTGGCTTAAATTTATCTCTTTTCAAATAGTTCATATTTTATCATGCTGTGGCCTTTTTTATCGCTAACTTTATGATATGGGTTTTGCTCATGGTTGAAGGCATTACAGATCCCAATAGTTTGCATCCTAGTCCTTTAATCTCTGGTGGAAAGTTGTCTCATTGGCCTTATCTTTATATACATGCAAATTGGGGAAATAAATTAAACATTCTGGTGAAATTGATAGCACTTCAAATTAATTCCTAAAAAAACAGTTTTTTTTTATGTCCTCAAATTATACATACTAAATTTTTCCATTCTTCTGACAAAGATTTTTCATTCCTCAATATCTCTTCCAATTTATACATATATTTCTCCTTCTTGTCTTCATTTTTCTCTTCTTTAACAAGATTCTCATAAATAGGTATAGCCTATAATTATTACAATGGTTTCTATAGAATAATAGCACAGTAATATGTAATATACAATTTCTTAATCTATTTTCATGTTTATTTTTTTTCAATTCAAACCTATTTATGAACAATCGTGCATTGTAAGTTGGGCATATAACCGTAATTTAATCAAGCTTTCTTTTTATCAGTCCAATATTTTATTTTATTTTTTTCTATCCATTTCCTGACATTATTACAAATAATTGCATGTTTTGGCTTTCAAATTAACTGATCAGATTTAAACTTTATTTCAAAAGACATAAAAATAAATACCAAACCAATGGCAACATAGTACCATAACTACATTATGTACTTAAAATGGAGAAATATACTGGAAAATCAAAGTATTATGATATATGGATTGAGTTTTTCAATACCACTTATGTGCTCTGAAATAATTTTATTTTCTCATCTAATATTTAAGCTAAAGAATAATATATGAGACATTTTACCATAGATGTTGCTCCAATTTTCACATCTAAATCTGCCAGTTTACTTAAAATGTCCTTTTTCTTCTCTTCATCACTGTAATATAAATATATTCTTTACATTAAACTACCCCTTCTACTATGTCAATGTATAGACCAAAGGACCTTATCTTCAAACAGTTTCCTATTATTTTAACTTGAAATTCAAACTAATTAAAATAATGAAATACTGTTTTAACTTTTATTTACATTGTCGTATTAGTCATAGTCTGTGAATTCCTTTTTCTTCATGGAATACTAGTTTCTGCAGCTTTTTAAAGGGTGCCATCAAGTTACGAATGTCAATTTTCCCCATAATATAACCACATGAATTAAAATTATGGATTTTAAAAAGTTTTGAAAAAAAAACACACCAGTGTTGCAAATAATAAGAACACTTTGAATGAACCTTACCGAATTAGAATGGTCACCAGTTTTGTACTTAAATGAGCAACACGATGGGTGACACATGTGAAGCAGAATCTACTTACCCTTCCAAAGCACCTGGAGATCAACCCCAGTTTTTGGTGGGGTTCGTGTTGCTCATTGTCAGTTTGTTTTGGATTTATGAGTTTGAATATCCCTTTGTTATCTTTAGCCTCTCTTTTTCAGAACATATATTTAAATGCTCATATATGATATAACCTCAGTTTATGTTTTTAGTACTTTCAGAGAAACTGACTTGAATGATTTTATAACTGCTAATATGAAAAATTTTCATGTAAATATTTCAAGCATACATGTTGTGGTGTTGTCATCCTGTATTTCATAGTTTTGTTACAAATTGTCCATATTTATAAAGTTGAGTTAATCCACAAGGCATAATCTTACTAAAACTCCATGTGCAGTTTAGTTGCATATGTATACAATGTATATATATATATATATATAAACAAGTAAATTTTAAGATACAAACCCTTTGTAAAGCTCCTGTAGTTTTTGATAAACATTAACCAGATCTTGTTCATGTCCACCATGTTTCTCATAAAATCCACAAAGTCCCTAAAGCAAAACAAGTACTTTTAAAATAACAATAATATTAAAAGAAAATTTAGATTTTTTAAAAATCATTTTCCCATTGGCCATGGCCAGTGCATGTATAAGCCATAGTGCCCAATTATAAATATTTCTTAAATACTGGTTCACTAATGTCAAAATCATGTAAAAGTATAAAGCAGTAATAGTCTTATTTTTATTTTTATTATTTTATTGTTATCATTTAAAATACAAACCATTAATGTATGTAAAAACTCATTCAAAAGGATTTCTGCAAACATCATACCTTTTCAGCATTTGATTAAACACAACAACATAAAAATATTATCAAAGTCTGGTTTATATAGACAAATTTGAACTAGCTTAATTTGTATTACCTGTATATCTTGTGTTTGTATGGTTTAACACTTACCTGCCATGCTAAAACCTGATCATGGGCTGCTTCTGTTGCCCGTTTGTATGCCTTCTCAGCCTGATCAAACTGTTCCATTCCATCAGCAGCCACACCAACAAACACCAAGGCATTATAGTTATTCTTATCCTGTGCCAAAACTGTCTGTAAAGACAAATGTCTGTTTTGTGATACTATATAGGATTCTTAATATCTTACCTTCGTATTTCTAATTCTATACATTAGAATCCTGATTGAAGACATTATAAATAGAAAGATCACTCTGATATTTTTTATCCTCACATTACTTCTTAGGTATAACATAAAGTTTGATGTCCATTCTAACATATGATGTGAATAAAATTTATATTTATCTATAATCTATAACTACAGATTTCCAAAAGGAAGCTCATGAATTCCTTGTAATTGGCATTTGTTTTTCTTTTAAATATAACAAGAGGCTGTCAGAGTGACAGCAAACCGGATTTCCTGCAGAGGTCGAACCCTGAACAGTTGAGCAAGTATGGACACTACATTTAAGCTTAAAACAGCTCTGAATTTGGATTGTGATTGAATATTTGACACAGCATAGGTTTGTGACACAAAATGAATGTGGTCAAAGAACTGAAAAATTTTAAATTGGACATTTACCTATTATGGTCCAATATCCAAAATCTAAGTACATTGTTAGAATCAGCACATCAAAGAACCCAAAGAATTCAATTTTTGATGAAATCAAACAAAAGTTTAATTTAGGACCCTTTGGACCTCAGTGTGGACCAATTTGATAAAGGAGCCAAAAATCCAAAATCTCTAAATACGTGGTTAGATTCAGCATTTGAAAGAACCCTATATATATTCAATTTATATTGAAATGAAACACAGTTTAATTTTATCCATATACTTATTAATTTTCTGTTCAAAGGGAAATAACTCAAACTGAATTAAAGATATTAACAATAGTTCTCTAAAATTAGATATGATGTTATATCTGTTTTCAATTTATAATCAAAAATAGTTCTCTAAAATTAGATTTGATTTAACCACTAAAACATTGTTAGAATGTGCATATCAAAGAACCCCAAGAACCCATTTTTTGTTAACAAAAGTTTAATTTAGGACCCTTTGGACCTCAATGTGGTACTATCTAATTAATAATGAAAATAAATACAGGTTTAGATTCAGCATTTCAAAGAACCCTTTATATATTCAATTTATGTTGAAATCAAACCAAGTTTAATTTTGGACCCCGATTTGGATCAACTTGAAAACATGGCCCAAAATCAGAAATCTAAATATATGTTTATTAATATTTGGACCAACTTGAAAACTGGGCCAAAAATCAGAAATCTAAATATATGTTTATTAATAGACAATATAAGCTTAGTTTTTAAAGGAGTTCACTTCATCAAAAAAAAAATATATATATATATAGCATTCAGAATAGTATAATTTATACAAAATAACAAACAAACCTACCACAAAATTCTTCAAACAATTTACCAAAGAAAAGAAAAAAAATCCAAAATGTCATTTATCATTAATACAATGTCTTTTAAAAATCTATAAAAGTTATCTGTAATTATCTTCAAAATGTCTAATAATGAACAGTAAATTTCTAACTATATTTATACAGTCCTACAGAGCACAGAGCTTATAATCATCAACACTTAGGAAACAGAAAATTTTCAAATAAATCTGTTACTCCAATTACAATTCTGTGATATTTACCACATGCACTATTATCTGATAACAGGTGAAATTTATTTCAAAAAACTTAGTGTAATCAAACTTTATATATATATATATATAATTAACCATTTCTGTTCAAAGGGAAATAACCTAATCACATAATAAGTACCACTTTTGGCTACTAAAAAGGGCTTAAATTCAACAACGAGAAAAGCTAAAATCGTTTAAATTGAACTTGACCTTCATTTAGTCATAGGAAACAACATATATAAATTTGAAAAGATTTCGTCAAAGCGTTTTCATATTAATGAACGGAAACTGTTTGGCAGCCACCCTCCAGTCCACTGTACATCCCCAAATCAATAACTGATTTTTCCTTCGAAAATCCGGCTAAAATATATAAAGAGACAGACTGCATAAAACTTCATCCTTTTTCAAAGAATCTATCCTTTGTACTTGTTTTACAGAAAAATACACCTCACTGCGAGTATATCAGGAGTATATATAAAACGTCAGGAGTATATATGTATATATATTACGAAAAAATTATAATTCATACCTTGCAATGTTTCAGGGCTTCTTTGAATTGCTTTTCTCTGATACATTCTCTAGCATTCTTCAAGGCCGTCTTTATTTCTTTAGTATCCATTTATCTAATAAAAAAATCGATTACACTGATATAAAAACATGGAGATGTGGTATGATTGACAACAAGAACACTATCCACCAATGACCAAAGAACAGGAATATAAACAACGACAAGTCATTGTTCAGCCAATAACAATGAGCAAATCTCATACTGTTTAGTAAGCTTTAAAAGGCCCTAAATAACAAAATGTGCAATAAGTCAAAAGAGAAAACTCAACAAACCAAATAAATCAAAAATAATGTAGAGAGTACAAATGTACTGTAAACCCAAAATGTGTGTCTATTTACAAATTGTATTTTTCAACGATGTTTAAAGACATTCCCTACATTTACAGAGAAGTGCTTAAAGGTTTTTCATTAAAAAATCCCTTTTTTTATTTTCTTTTATTTATCTGTAATCAATTATTCATTTCATTGAGGAGAAAAAAAGAAAGTAATAATTGATTATTAGAAAATGTTCAATAATTGATCAATTTACGATTATAATTGACAGTGGTAACATCACTAGTTCCTTTCATACTTTTTACATTTTTTTTTGCTTACTGTGAAAGTACTTTTATTCGTGGGGTACCAATTTGCGTGGTTTTCGAGATAGGTTTTATCAACAAATTTAAGTGTCCAACGAAATATAACATCTGTTGTCCAAATCAAGACATGGAAAGGTCCCCATAAAGGTTTGACATATATATATATATATACATGGATACTGCCATATAATTAAGAGAATTCATCGAATGAACTATAAACAGATGTATATACAACTTCAGACAGGATTTTACCGATTCAATCTTTAAAAACCTAAACTGTACGTCATTTGAACGAAGAAAGTCAGACTTCCGGTGTTGATATGCAATGATGAAATATATGTACACCTTACAATCATTCCTTACACAAAATATAGTTGACGTATTGCTTATAGTTTCTGAGAAACAAACTTAACCAGGAAAATTTAACATTGACCAATGAACCATGAAAATTAGGTTTAGGTCTGGTCATTTGAAGCATGCCAGACAGACATGTACACCTTACAGTCAATCTATGCATTAAATATAGTTGACCATTTTGCTTATAGTATCTAAGAAACAAACTTAACCATGAAAATTTAACCTTGATCTATGAACCATGAAAATGAGGTCATGGTCAGATGACACCTGCCAGTTGGACATGTACACCTTACAATCATTCCATACACCAAATATAGTTGACCTATTGCTTATAGTTTAAGAAAAACAGACCAAAACACAAAAACATAACACTGAGCAATGAACCGTGAAAATGAGGTCAAGGTCAAGGTCAAATAAAACCTGCCAGACTGACATGTACATCGTAAAATATTTCCATACACCAAATATAGTTGACCTATTGCATATAGTATTAACCACTGAACCATGAAAATGAGGTCAAGGTCAGATGGCACCTGCCAGTTGGACATGTCTACCTTACAATCATTCCATACACCAAATATAGTAGACCTATTGCTTATAGTATCTGATATATGGACTTAACCACGAAAACTTAACCTTCTTTACTGATCCATGAAATGAGGTCGATGTCAATTTGAATACTGTCTGCCAGGCATGAGGACCTTTGCAAGGTACGCACATACTAAATATAGTTATCCTATTACTCATAATAAGAGAGGAATTAACATTAAAAAAATCTTAAACTTTTTTTTTAAGTATTCACTGAACCATGAAAATGAGGTCAAGGACAATGGACATATGACAGATTACTATCCCTATGTTAAGCTTTCTGCGACAGAAGTCGCAGGCTCGACAAAAACTAAAATCCACAAATTTAAGAACCCATGAATATGTAATTTTTGCTCATATTTGCATTCCCAATAGGGGGCATGGTTTCGATCTTGTTAATTATGCTTGGTGTATTTGAGAGTAGGAGGTCAAGTATTCTGTCACCTCTAGTAGGCTTATTTACAATTTGCTCTAAAGAGTGGTCATTTATGATGTCTAAGAGTTGTGTGTGCAGTTTAATTTCTGGTTTGCCTGGAATAATGCATGGTACTTCCCAGTCAATGTGGCTGAGGTTGAAGTCGCCACCTAGCATCACTGTAGTTTTTGTATTATTGTTGATGCGATTAAGTGAGATGTTAAGATTTTCAAGTGATATGCCATTGTTTGAAGGTGGTCTATAGTAACAGCCTAGTATAAGTTTTTTTGCATTTGTCATGTTTATTTCTGCCCATATGCTTTCAGAGTCTGTTTGTAATTCTCTGATTTCATTTGATAGTAATTGTGTTGATATGGCAATGAGGACGCCACCATAGCTTTGGTTATTATTGGATGGAGGGCGGTCTTTCCTATACACTGTGTAATCATTCGCTGGAAAGAATTCAGATGATAAGATATCGCTACTGAGCCAGGTTTCAGTGCCCAATATTATTTCTGGTTGTACAGATGAAATAATTTCATCTAGTTCAGCCTTTTTATTTTTAATAGACTGAAAGTTTATTGTTAGTATTTTCAACTGACAATATCCTTTCATCTTTTGCATTACTGAGTGGCAACACAAGGCAAGCTTAAGCTAATTTAAAAAAAATGAAATTTTTTTTGGATGAACCAAAAGCAAGGTCTTCTCTGTCTATTCCATATGAAATTAAAAGCTTTTGTCCAATTTGAGCAAAATTTACATCAACATGTTTCCTTTTATTTTGGTGTCCTCTCCTGTCCTGAAAGGAAAATCTTCCCTTTCCGTGCTGAAATTAAAATAAAATGCCCCCTTTTTCCCCCAAAAAATTCTTTCCCTCAAGATATGGTCATAATCTCAATTTAAATTTCCAATGGAATTTGCAACCATAATTACCCATTTAAATTTACCATAGTGCTAACTTAATCTATTTCATAATAGAATTTAAAATATGGTGTCAAATCTTTCATATGGATTTTTTTGTAAAAAAAAAAAAGATGCAAATTTGCAGATATTTTTACTGGTCTTCCTTTATAAATATGCATTTCTTTAAACATAATTTAAAAGCAGTGTAAGGGAAGTAATCAAAATGTTGTATGTGGATTACCTCCCTTACACTGTTTTAAATTGTCTTAATTGTTCATTAACCTTTACTTTATACATAATTTAAAAGCAGTGTATGGGAGGTAATTCAAATGATGTATTTGATTTATCTCCCTTACACTGCTTTAAATAATGTTTTGTACTAAATTATTTGTCCATATAAAAATGCTTGTTTTTTGCCCCTTTTTTGGCCCCTAATTCCTAAAATTTTGAGGCAATTACCCCCAAAATCAATCCCAGCATTCCCTTTGTGATATGGAACCTTGTGGTACAATGTCAGAGAGATCCATACACTAACACACAAGTTATGTCTGGAAGTTACAAAAATGCTTATTTTTGGCCCTTTTTTGGCCCCTAATTCCTTAACTGTTGGTACGAGGATTTATGTTGTATTGATGCTACCAGATAATGATTTTTCTTTTGATTTGCATTGAATATTCTTGCAAGAATATTCATCATGTTGAATGTGGACAGTATTTTGAAAAAGAAGAAGTGTTCAGGAACTGGAGACCAAAAAGTTATCTGTATGAATTTATCTTTTTTGAAACCTTGTAACAATTTCAAAACAATCCAAACAGGTATAACAAGATCAAACTCACTCAACACCTTGAGATCAAAGAAGCCAATTAAGCAACGAAAACAATTTCACTTTAATGTCTTACAATTCTTACATCATTGTTTTAACTCATTCCAAGCTGACTTGTTTATTTAAAAAAAACAATTTCATTTTTAATCCACCAAAAATAATAATTACAACAATCAGTGAGACCAAAGACATCGTAATCATATCTAATCAGCATTCTAAATTACAAAACTTTGAATTTTCGGAATACTAAGGCTTTTCCACCTCAGAAATATATTACCTTAGCTGTATTTGGCAAAACTTTTAGGAATTTTGGGTCCTCAATGCTCTTCAACTTCGTACTTTATTTGGCCTTATTAACTTTTTTGATTCGAGCGTCACTGACAAGTCTTTTGTAGACGAAACGTGTGTCTGCCGTACAAAGTTTCAATCTTGGTATCTTTGATGAGTTTATTTACAATCAACAGTCATAAAAACAAATGTAACAATGAAGCCAATTAGCCTGATTAATGCTCCAAAACAAAAACCTTTTTTTTTAATTTCAATGTTTATTCATGAATTTGGAGATATATTTTTTAATATTTTATATAAGATTACAAAACTTTAAATTAAACCATTAATATTATTTTTTTTTATAAAAATTAGGGCGAACGGACTCTATGGGTGAACGGACTCAGGGCGAACAGACCCAGGGCGAACATGTAATTAGCGCGAACAGACCAGATACCGCTTACAATTGGGTAAATTATAATGTGTCCCAAATGATCAGGTGGCAATTTTAACCAGAAGATTCTTACTCCCACATGGTTGTTGGACAGGGAGCATCGACATCTGGAGAGTTGACACCTATGTAATAATATCCCATTTGAGTGATTGAGACCTACATCTTTCAGCTGGTAATCAAAATAAGTATGCCTTCTTGGAAGGCTATATTAAATATTTAGGTTAGACATCTTTCCTGTGTTAATGAAATGCGTAAAAAGGTCCTAAAATTAATTACTTTTTCTTTTTCTTTAGGTATACAATATTCCATCGACATCTGATGATTACATACTGTTGCATACATGGACTATTTATAAAATTTGCCCCAATTTAAACAAAAATAATTATTTAGTGCAATGAACATAACAAATTTGTGATTAAAACTATTTACAATCTTAATTTATGCTATCAAATATTATTAGAGAACAGCAGGAGATAGCTGTTCCCTGAAGCTATCAACTGATGGTGCCTGAACAAGTACCTCCACTGTGGTATTGTGAATGGAAATAATTTATGAGTGTCTCTGACAGTTCACTTTCAATTTGTGGATTGTCATCAAACAGTAAAAAAAAATGAACGATCCTAAATAAATAGCTTACACAGTTAATAGAACTCCCAGAACTGCTGTGTCGTTCATTACTTTTGTATAATCAAGGTTCGTTCTGGTGAGACGAGAAGGAAAAACGAACGAAGAGAGGTGTTCAGTAAGGGTCCCGTTCAGTAAGGGGAGAGTAACGAATGGTGGATGGTCTGAATCTTATCTTATCTTATATCTTTTCTTCTCCTAATAAAGGCACACCTCCAAATTTTTAATCCTCCAACAAAGAAATAATTTTTACGTTTCAATTAAAAGTATTTTTTATTGATCTAACATGAAACTTAGATTTGAACAAATGGATCGGGCATAAAACAAAGCCAATACAGAAGCAGTTAGTCAGGGAGGCAATCCCCCTTTTTTCATTTTTTATCATTATCACGGTACGCATCATGATACATAATTAATAAGTATCAGTGAACTCTAGCCATTTCACTACTCTAAATAAATATCTCAAATTGTATATCATATCTGGGATAGTGGGCTCGTCATTAAGAAGAGAAAACTCAGACCAAAATTATACATAGAGACTATACTAACTTACGGAAATGGCTTATTGCAAAGTTAATTTAGTACACAGCTCATATTTAGAAAAAAAAACAAGTGTTAAGCATTTCCAAAATTAATGGTATCTGTAGCTAGTTAAGCTTCCTTGCATACCAAGAAAAATGATCGTACAACGGGTGTCAACTATAGCTGAGACTACTATAACACCTGATATTGGGCAAAGTCCAGTACAAATTGGTTTGGTCTAGTAAAGCGATATGCATAAGTGACGCCTAGGGATTAACCCTGTATGTCATTCAAATCTTCTTGAAATCATGAACAGGAATATATATGGTTAAGGGGTGGGGGATCTCGACCGTTTACAAGTTCTCAAATAGGGGGGTGTGATTCTCAGGGGACTCGCCTTTTATTTCATTTGATTTGTTTTATTCAGTGTCCCGTACAAGAATATATATGGTTCAGGCATGGGGATCTAGACTGTTTACAAGTTCTCAAACAGGATGGGGTGGGGGTGACCCCCAGGGACTCCCCCTATATTTCATTTTGATTTCCTTTATTGTCCCATACAATAATATATATGGTTCAGGGGTGGGGATCTCGACCGTTAACAAGTTCTCAAACAGGAGGGGGTGGGGTCGTCCATGTCTGGGGAATACCGATAAAAACTGCTGTCTAGTGTAGATGTGTATTGATTTTATTTTCCGCTTAGCGCTGGTCCGCGAAGTAGTGTTTGTGATAGCCATTTTCAAAATGAAGTTGAATTCATTTGAATTGTCGGCGAACATTCAGTCCATTTTTATTCAAGCCGTAAGCTAATCAAAATAGAAGTAACTCAAAATTTCAAAAGTATCTTCCTAGAATTAGTATTCAAACACTAGTACTACACTATCTAGGAGTAGACATAGTAAGATAGTCTGTCTAACTTCCGGTTTGAGGCCGATGCCTTAGGAAAGTTTATTGCTATAACAAGCTATAACAAACTTTCCAAAAACTAAAGGTTTACAGTTCTAATTAGATATAGGAAGATGTGGTATGAGTGCCAATGAGACAACTCTCCATCCAAGTTACAATTTATAAAAGTAAACCATTATAGGTCAAGGTACGGCCTTCAACACGGAGCATTTGCTCACACCGAACAGCAAGCTATAAAGGGCCCCAAAAAAATTACTAGTGTAAAACCATTCAAACGGAAAAACCAACGGTCTAATCTATGTAAAAACGAGAAACGAGAAACACGTATGAACTACATAAACAGACGACAACTACTGAGACTTCTCCCAGTAACGAAAAATAAGTTTAAAGCCAATTACATCTCATACATTAATCATGTTTCCCAGACTAAAATATCAATTGGTGTAATTCTAATATACTAGTATATAGTGAAAAGAGGTCATAAACAGAACGAGAAAAAGCTGACCTTGTGTCATGCCAAAATATAAGTATTGACAGGATGTAGGAATGTACGTATTCATCTATATATTTTAATTTATGAATAAACAATAAAAATCCGTTTTTCTAAGGGTCGATAAGTTTGCATCTTAATATACGGGTTCTATACACAACATAGGCGGTAGCGTGACCTATAGTTGCTAACTTATTCGTTATTTGGGCTCTGGTGGAGAATTGTCTCACTGGCAATCATAATACATCTTCTTATTTTCCTCTATAAAAATGAGGATGTGATATCCCTTCAAGTAGGGCCTTCTGGTCAAAAGAGTTGCCAAGTTAAAATTCAATTCTAAGACATTTTATTTTTCTGAATTGACGGACTGAAATATGCACATTTTTTAAATGGGTTATATTCATTCTGCAGAGACACTGGAAATGAGAAATCACAAAATGCAACGTATGTAACTCTTAAGCAAAAACAACATTAAAAAGAAATCTTGAACTCGCTGTTTCAGGAAGATAAACAATTAAGACATATATGATATAGATGTTTTACAATATCTATATTCAAAAATGCTCTAAAAGTCTCGAATTGTTTTTTCTTTATTTAACCTGGTCAATTTCAATAAAGACGATGCAGTCATGTTCATATAAAAAATCTTCTTTGTTTTGGACTTAACACGAAGGTTATAATTTATCTGGTGTTAAGGAATCACAATCTGGACTACATTGCATTTAGTTTATATATATATAAGAAGATGTGGTATGAGTGCAAATGAGACAACTCTCCATCCAAGTCACAATGTATAAAAACGGTTGACAATTATAGGTCAAAGTACGGCCTTTAACACGGAGCCTTGGCTCACATCGAACAGTTAGTTTTAGTTTTAGGTTTAGTTTAGTTTAGTTTAGTTTAGTTTAGTTTAGTTTAGTTTAGTTTAGTTTAGTTTAGTTTAGTTTAGTTTAGTTTAGTTTAGTTTAGTTTAGTTTAGTTTAGTTTAGTTTAGTTTATAGGAAGATGTGGTATGAGTGTCAATGAGACAACTCTCCATCCAAGTCACAATTTATAAAAGTAAACCATTATCGGTCAAAGTACGGTCTTCAACACGGAGCCTTAGCTCACAACGCACAGCAAGCTATAAAGGGCCCCAAAAATTACTAGTGTAAAACCATTCAAACGGGAAAACCAACAGTCTAATGTATATAAAAAAACGAGAAACGAGAAACACTTATGAACCACATCAACAAACGACAACTACTGAACATCAGATTCTTGACTTAGGAAAGGTGCAAACAATTGCAGCGAGTTTAGTTTAGTTTAGTTTAGTTTAGTTTAGTTTAGTTTAGTTTAGTTTAGTTTAGTTTAGTTTAGTTTAGTTTAGTTTAGTTTAGTTTAGTTTAGTTTAGTTTAGTTTAGTTTAGTTTAGTTTAGTTTAGTTTAGTTTAGTTTAGTTTAGTTTGTGAATTCACATATGGATCGTTTAAAAATCTATAGAATATTTGATACATTTTTTTTCTGTATTGAAATTATAATCAAATTAGTTAGTCCTGTACATAAAAAAGTCATACATATGAAATTTAAATGTATTTCGGAAAAAGGATTGTTTATGTGTCCATTTGTTCTAGTTTCACATATCAAATCAGATATTCCTCTCGCATAAGAATCCTCCTAGTGTTGAACCATCTGTCTCTTCCCAGCCATATGAAGATGCTTTATTCATAGCAAGATGATCTTTAGCATCATGTCCAAATGGCGTGGTAGGACTCCAGTTGAAGTAACGCATAATCTGCCCATCATCAAACGACCACGTGCCTTCCTTTACAGAATCGTTTCCTTGAATGTACACCAAATTTTCTTTGTAGAAATCTGCAATAGAGAATAATGTTTACAAAGTGTTTGCTGCATAACTGTAAGATTGTGGAGCATTCATACAAAATATTAATATATGTGTAAGGTAGAAATTATTGCACACCCTTAAGAAAAATGACGATGCTATATCTATAGATTTTTCGAAAGATTATGCATACAACTAAGGCATGCTTACTTTTAAAGGTGATTAAAACAATTCACTTAACTCTTTTATTTTCTTTAGAATAACGAAGAAAGATCTAAGGTAAGATAAACATAAATTTGCCATCAGCTAGCGCACCTGTACACGTTAAAACCGAGAAGAAGAATATTTCCTTACCCAAATATGTCATCAAATGAGTCTGTTGTTTTGGACTTTGGACTCGAAGCAGCTGCCCGCCATTATGATGACAAATGATGTCAGCTTCATACACAGTTTTAGGATCGTCAAAGTACCGGTAACAGAGAGAAGCTTTCCTGTTCTGGTTGAAACCATTCATAGGAGGACAGGTACCTGAATTATAAAAAGGTAGTATGATGTTAGCATGGTTTCCGTTCATAACCAGGTGATATTTGGAGAAGGAACTGCTTACCACACCTGAAGTCAACACCGTTTTTTTTTTTGGGGGGGGGGGGGGGGGGGGGGTAGGATTCGTGTTGCTCAATTTTTAGTTTTCTATGTAGTATTTTGTGGGCTTGTTCGTCCTTTCGTCGTTTGTTTGTTTGTTTGCATTTTGTCGTGATGTCAGGTTTTTTCTTCGGCTTATGAGGTTTTGAATGTCCTCTTCCGTTTCTATTTTTATGATGTTTACCGAACGAAAACAAGGCAACTTCGCTTTACAAGAATCATATATATATATATAAAACTAAGTGTACGTTGGAAATTGTCAATCTGATTTCTAGTTACTTTAACCGAAAGAATATTGTTGATAATACCGATGACTTCTAATTTTCTTAATTTTGTCATGAATAATGCATGACAAAAATTTCATTTCTGCAATCAGTATCAACCCGAAGATCCGATGACGGATATTAATTGCGCGATCAACTAAATCTTTTAAAACATTTTAAGAAAGAAATACAGCTACCATAAACGGAGGGGACACTGTCACGGCTTTATCAACAAACCGAAATAAGCTATTACTATAGAATTTATAAATAGAAAACTCACTTTCGTAAACGTTATAGTACCGCCAACCCAAATCATCTTTCCATTTCCCACTATTTCCGGGGGTGTTTACACTCATAAGTCGACATTCCGTGGTATTCTGACGGTAGAAATATGCCATACATGCGATGTTCTGGAGGCAATGGAACGCACATTTTCTAATACTTTCCGTCTTAAATGTTCCGATAGAATTTGGATCCACGATTTTGTTT